AAGTCACACTTTAACGAAGCTTTGGTGGTGGTTCACCATATGGCAAAAAATGAAATTCCTCTGGCGATAGAAACATATAACGGCGTGATAAACCTAATGTGTAAAATAGAAAGAATCGGATTAGCGTTGGAAGCTATCGAAAGATTTCAGGAGCACGGAATTAAACCTAATGCGGGAACCTTTTTGCCGATTTATAACGCGTTGAGGATGCAAAGTAGTGAAGAATTTTTGAGATTACATCGTCTGATGAGGACCAATAATGTTTACATATAATATCAATGTGTAATAATAATTTTTTCTTTTTGTCCATTGTACTCTGTAAAGCTATCAGAATTACATATAATCATCACATCATGGGGAATTAAATTTGTTTGAAATGGTTTAATGGTTCTTTTCATTGTTTAACAATTAAATGCGCTCTAAAATGTCAGGAAACTACATTATGACATCCTGCCTATAAGTTTTTAATTAGCATATACACCGGACGGATTATTGGATATCTATTCATCTTTATTATATCCCCATAAAAAATATAAAAAAATTTTTTTTTTTTATCACTTAAGAGTACAACTTGCGATTCACCCAGGTCGTAAAATCATTACTGACTTTGTTGTCTTCCGCTTTGACATCAAATTTCTTATCTGATCACGATAATCTTCTCACTCTCCGCCTCTTCATCATCGTATTTTTTAAAGAAATATAGCATTAAGCACCCAGTGATGAAAGAACATCCTCCCAACAGCGCATACATGAGAACCAGGTAGGGGTCCCTAGACAGAGGTACTATTGCTATTTATGAAGAAGAAATAAAGCAAATGAGAAAAAAATTTCTTATTTTGATATATTATGGTGGAATATTAAGTTTACCGAGTCCAAGTAATGCACCAAAAGCGCTGGTAATCAAAAAAATTGCAGTCACGGTAGATTTTAAGGATTCAGGTGCCTTTTCAATTCACATGGAAAAAGAAATAATGTTGATCTTAGCCATTTGGATTTCCAGAGATAAATATATGAAAGTTCAATTACCTTGTTGTACGCGTAATTTAGACCAGTTATAGAAGTAAAAACTATTATCATAAAATATTAAAACGTTATAGCATCAATGCAAGAATTCAGCAATGAAAGTGAATAGTTTAACTGACTTTCCGATAATCCGATCAAGATATAAGATGGAGATTGCCACCTATTGTTGAGAAAATGAAGATGAGATAATTCATACTCTTTCCTTGTTACTTAAAGAATGTGACTTACCAAACACTGATATCGTTCGGTACCTGTACATTATTGATCGTACACCGAGTATTAATATAGCACGGACCAGTATTGTATATCATATTTTGGACGATGGCCGAATATACCATGGCCGCGGTAATTAACATATATCCTATGAAAATACGCGTTATTGGTCGAAGGGTGATTCCAAGTCGTTGAAGATACGGATATCTTTCGCGAAGGGAGAATTTTTTAATAAAATCGGGTAACAATAGTACAGATAACCATGAAAAATCAAGACTCACAAAACGTGATTTGCAAGCGGCGTAAAAATGATCAAAACAATAGGATCCAAATTGTTCATAATGTCATTTGGTATTTTTCCAACACGCATGGTGGCCGCTTGCGAGATCAAATTATTATGGATCTGCGTATAACAAACCCAATAAAATGGAAAGAGAATGAACACCTTTAACGCTTGCAGTCCGACCTTTACTTGGTCCACGAACTCATCATTCCATGTGATTCGATGCTTTGCGCTGTATTCCTGTGGGATGTTCGACGGTTTTGCGTTCTCCAAATTTCGATCACGTGCGAAGGCGACTCTCAACACGAAAAAAAAATTTAACAACGCCGATCCACGTGGTGGTTCTTTAATTAGCTTCTTATTAACGAATATGAGAATCATGATCGCAATAACGAACATTATCAACGGGGTTAGATAAGCCAACCAATATGAATGATATTTTTCAATGTTGGTGGTAATCATCGGTGAGAGTGCTCCAATGTTGATGGACAAATAAAACCAATGAAATATGGATTGAACCGTTAACTTTGGATTAACGATGACCCGCTCGTCATTTGATAAGTTCTTGATGTAAGGTTCGGTAACCCTTGAAATTGAATCCAATATTAATAAATAAAGTTAGTCTTTACTATGCATAGTTCAAGTCCCAAAGTCAGGCCAAAGCCTGACCCTCTGTCAAATATTTGAGCAAGATATTTCTGGCACCGTTCGTG